AGACATTGTACACTTGTAATACTCAACGTTTCCTATTGAACTACATAAAAGAAGGCAAGAATTACTCCTTGCAATATTAGGTCTATTCTTATGGAAGAGCTATCAGGTGACAGTGGTAGAAAGCTTTCAAATAACGAGACAATATAAATTCTTGTACACTGAGCTCCAACTGTTACTTGATTCCTTGCTCTAATTATATAAAGTGTCCTGGCATTGTTTTAGTGGGTTTGTATCAATCATCGGTAATGCACTGGAAAAGAATTCCCCCATTGATAGTTTGTGGGTAACAAAATATTATAAAATTGTACAATTATATGCATATTTGAAGACACTGATCAGTGTGAAATTAATGCTTCAGTAGACACAATGTGTAGAAATTTCTCCTTTTCATGAGGATTGAAAAGAAGTTACAACCACTTTACAAGCCAATTTAAGAGCTAAATTGTGTATGTTTATCTCACACGGCCATTAGGCATGCCAATCAATTAATTAGATTACTTTAATTAAATTTACAGAGGTCAAATATAGGAGACTCTTTGAACAAAGCTTATAAAAGCACTTGAAGGAGCCTTGCACAAAACAAAGGTGGTTTTCATATTAGCCAGTGTCGGCTATTGATGTCAGTTCAAGCATTTTCCATGGCCTTTTTTGTTGTTGCTACTTAGGATCGTGCAATTAGAGAACTGGAAGGGAGCCTCATCAAGGCCAACCCCTTATTCAGCACTGCATCTCTAGCCTTTTATTTAAAGTTTCCAGAGAAGCAGGCCCTACAACTTTGTTGAACTGCCTTGTTGAAACGCTGAATTTAACCCATTATTCTAGATCAAGCCTTACCAGCACAGGTAGAGGGAATATTATTTGTCTCAATTTTGGCTGCTAAATCTGAGAACGGCAAGACTCAGCTGGCCAAATCTGCAGCAGTGTCACACAGTCCAGATGAGCTACGGTTGCATTAGACCTACTGAACGTTCACATTATCTTCTGTGTTGCTACCGCTACTCCCACCACCCACAGAACTCTGTCCAAATTCCTGGTCATTGTGATCACCTTGTTCTGACACCCTCAGAGGCACCTGTGTAATCAGCAGCAAGAGGGCAGGATGATCTCTGATGGACACCAGGAAAGGGTAAAAATGCCAGTTTCTCATCTGGACAGAGAATCGGTGCAATTCAAAGACCATCCTGCTATTCAAACTTCACAAAGCCACAGAAAACCTGTTTCCAGCTAGCTCCAGGGTTGGAGCAGAGTTGGCTTAACTAAAACACGAGGCAAAGGTTTAACTCTTTAAAAAACCTGATACTTACTGGAATTCAGCAAACATGGGAATAACTAGAAGTAAATACAGGGCAAGTTCCTTCAGAACTCTGAGATTCAGTTTTTCTAGTATTCCAGATTGAACTTATTTGGTTTAATTTGGTGAATCCTGACTAATTCCTTATTAATCTTGAAGTCCTGATTCCTTATCAGGATACCTGCTGATGCATAGAAAACAACTTAAAACAAAATAGGTACCTAGTAATTCCACCTTTTCATCATGGTCTGTTAGCATCTTACTATCCTAGTTCAAAAGTGGTCCCATCATTTCATTCCTCATTCCCTTGTTTTGAACACACCTGATGAAGAAAACCTCTTCTTGTTGCCTCCTACTTCCCTAGCCAATCTCAGCTCATGTCGAGCTCCAGCTTTCTTTACACTAGCCCTACACGTTTGGGTTGCAGATCTATATTCTTCCTTGATAATTTCACCTTCCATRATGGTCAAGAATTTTGCACTAAGTGTATTTCAGTCAAGTCCAATGCAGAAGACACAATAACATTGTACCCAGGCAAGAGGAAAAAGAACAGAAAAACTTTACTCTTATCAGCAGAGTTAAAACAGTGCAACAAACTTACATAGTCTTTGTAAGCAATACAGTTAAGGCTTCTTCATCTTKATCCAAATGAGAGAGCAGTAGAAATGGTTGAGCAAAATGCCTGAGCAAAGGCTCCTTAGAGCAAAAGCTGAACTGTATTCTAAAAACCATATAGTTATACCCCATCGGGTGTGGTCAAAACTTACTAGTTGACCTACATTAGCAGCTGCACGTAATAATTAAAAGCATAAAGTTTTCTTTAACACACACACACACACACACTTGATCCTGTTATGACTTACTGTGACAAAGAAGCGCCACGCCAAGTGTTCATCTCAACATTTCCATTTCCATTGTGTTAAGGGCTTGTTCATGTTTCTTTGTTCCTGGCCAGCCCTCTGCCCCGAAGAGGGCTGCTTGGCAAACAGTGGTGGTGTAGATCTTAGCCTTGAGCTGTTCAGCCATTTTTGAGTCACATAGAATGTCAGTACAGTATTCCCTAACTTATTGCGGGGGTTCTGTTCCAGGACCCCCCGCAATAAGTGAAAATCTGCAAAGTAGGGACGCCATATTAATTTTAATATTGATACATTATTTTATATATTATTTTCTTACCCACGTTTTCTTACCTGCCTCCCGGCCCATACCAAGGGCGCCTTCCTTCCTTCCTTCCTGGCCTCTGCAGACCCCTGCAGACCCTCCAGAGCCACGCAGGCAATAGTAGGCCAGGAAGGCAGGCCTTCCCCGCCGCACCTCAGTCCGCTGTACTTCCAGGGTCTATGAAGGCCAGGGAAGCAGGCCTTTCCTGCCACGCTTCAGGCCGCTGCAGTTCTGTGGTACCTGGCCTCCACTGGACGTAAATATTTTATATTAATATTTTCAAAAACCCACGAAACAGCGAGTCCGCTAAAAGTGAACCGCAAAGTACCAAGGGAACACTGTAGTTTGCTGCCATTTCGACCAGGCTACATTTATTTGTGACTGTATGTCTGGCATTGTGTCGCCATCTATAGAGACCACTGACTCTAGATATTTAAATTGGGTGGCCTTCTTTCATGCTTGTCCATTAATTTGAATTGCTTTCCAGTATGAAGGCCACATTCCAGATACTCTGTTTTGGGTATGTTTAGTGGAAGTCCATTTTCACTTAGTCTATCACTCCATGTCTGCAGTTGTTGTTGGAGGGCTGTACATGTAATTTCCATTTCCAGCAATGTCAGATTGTTAGAGACCCTAAATCGGGTCTTAATATTGAGGTCCAGGTCACAGGAGCACGTAAGGAAGGAGTCCAGTCCCAGGATGAGATCAAAAGCAAAATTTTATTCTTTCATGATCATGAAGGAGTCAGATAGTCGTATAGGGCATGCGCAGGCGCCCACACTCTATAAGGACTGCCGCTCCCCTCCTTGGTTTCTGCAAACCTTTATACCATCAGGTAAACAAGGCAATGGAAAGTACCTTGACAGTTGACCTTTTACTCTTTCCAGCACCCCTCCCATCAATCTTTTGATGCTTTGTTTGTCAAAACCACAATTTATTCTCTATATGCAGATTTTGGACTTCACCGCAAACCCATTTCCTATGTAAGCTGAGCAGGTTAGTAACTTCTTTTTAGAACATCCTCCCTCTTGCTGACATGTTGCTCTTTCTCTGCAGGGAGGGGTACCTTTCTTATGTTTTGTTGCCAAAGCTTAGCTATTGCAAAAGTCACTCATCGTCTCCTTCAAGATAAGCCCCCTCCCTCCTGACCTTCCGCAAGAGAGTGAAAACATGGCTTTGTGACCAAGCCTTTAGAGAACTTGGAACTATGTACAATGACCATTGGAATGGCCCAGATTACGCTTGTGGATAACATGTTTAATTCTTAATGTGTTCTTTTTAAATGTTTTAATGTACCTTTTAATTCCATTTTAATATTTATTTAAGCGTACATTGTGTTTTAGGACATCCAATTGTTGCCTGTATGTAAAGCCGCCTTGAGCCCCCTGGCGGGGTAGAAATGTCATAAATAAATAAATGTAGATGTATATGAAACATATGTCACATTGAAACATGTCCCATTTCCAAGATATTACGTATGTTGTTGTTCATTCGTTGTCGTTTCCGACTCTTCGTGACTTCATAGACCAGCCCACGCCAGAGCTCCCTGTCAGTCATCACCACCTCCAGCTCCTTCAAGGTCAATCCTGTCACTTCAAGGATACCATCCACCCATCGTGCCCTTGGTCAGTCCCTCTTCTTTTTTTCCTTCCATTTTCCCCAGCATAATTGTCTCTAAGCTTTCCTTTCTTCTCATGATGTGGCCAAAGTACTTCATCTTGGCCTCTACTATCCTTCCCTCCAGTGAGCAGTCGGGCTTTATTTCCTTGAGGATGGACTGGTTGGATCTTCTCGCAGTCCAAGGCACTCTCAGCACTTTCCTCCAACACCACAGTTCAAAAGCATCTATCTTCCTTTGCTCAGCCTTCCCATTACGTATATGCAAATTATATTATGTACATATGTGCTTGGAGCCCCCGGTGGTGCAGTGGGTTAAAGCACTGAGCTGCTGAGCTTGTTGATCGAAAGGTCGCAGGTTCGATTCCGGGGAGCGGTGTGAGCTTCCGCTGTCAGCCCTAGCTTCTGCCAACCTAGCAGTTTGAAAACATGCAAATGTGAGTAGATCAATAGGTACTGCTCAGGCGGGAAGGTAACGGCGCTCCATGCAGTCATGCCAGCCACATGACCTTGGAGGTGTCTACGGACAACGCTGGCTCTTCGGCTTAGAAATGGAGATGGGCACCACACCCCAGAGTCAGACATGACTGGACTTAATGTCAGGGGACTACCTTTACCTTTTTACATATGTGCTCATTATGAATTATCAAAATACTTGGGTCCAGAGGTGTTCCAAGCATAGGGGATAAAGGTTGTTCTGTACTAATTTTATGAATCCTGGAGAGACATAAGGATATAAACTCATAGGGTTCCCAGCAATGAGACATAGCCTAGCTGCCCTTTCCTCTCCAGCACCGAGGTCCCACTCTGCTCGAATTTGGCGGGAAAGAGTATTCCCCTCCATTCCTGAGGGCGGGGCATTTCAGGCGCGCGCCGGCCGCGAGAGGGAGGTAGGCGGGCAGACGCGCATGCGCCTCGTGAGGCGGCCCCTCGACTCAGCTCGCCGAGGCGTCACTGCCCCGCGCCGCATCCAAGATGGAGGCTGTCCGCCGGAGCCTGTTCGTTTTGGGAGCACCGCTGCCGAGTTGGAGCCGTGCGCGGTGCTGGTACACGACTGCGCTGAGGGTGGCAGGAGGCCCTGGCAAAGGTAGGCGGAGGGCAGTGCCCGCGAAGGCCTGGGCGTCCCAGCCATGAAGCCGCGCGAAGGAAGCTCACGGCCCTTGCAGCAGAGCCAATTCCCAGACTGGCTTCTGCGGGAGCAAGGCCTCGTCGACCTTTTCCTGGCTTTGGCCCACGTTTCCTCAGACCCACTCTGGTTTTGGCCACCGCGGAACAGATTCCGGGAGGGGGGGGGGGCAGTAAGTTATCAGTGTAGATGTGTCCTTAGAAGAAAGATTGAGCAACCAAGATATTGCAGTTTCCTTCTTTTTTTTTTTTTTGAACACAAATCTTATTTACTTTTGCACACATTTCCCTTTGTTGTCTCCATATTTTGTTGTATTACAGTCTGAAATGGAAAGGGATTTATTTAATCAATGATAATAATAATAACAACTTTATTTTTATACCCTACAAAATCCTATACGGTTCCGACCCGGTTTACCTGTCCAAATGTATTCTCCCCTATGAACCATCAAGATTATTATTATTATTATTTATTAACTTTATTTGTTATCCATCTCCCGAAGGACTCGATGCGGCTTACAAAGGCCAAGGCCTCAAAACACAACATAACAATACAAAACCTAAAGCAAATTAAAAACAATTAAAGCAATATTAAACAACAAGCAATAAACAATACACCAAGACACAATAAAACTGGGCTGGGCCAGAGTAATGGGTACAGATTAAAAGTGCTGATGTGACAGGTGATATGTAAGGATTATAGGGTAAGTGCAGTGTGCAGCAATCTTAATTCTAATAAAGTGCTTCTGGGACTTGTTATTGGAGATTCCTATTCTGGAAAGGCACATCGGAACAGCCAGGTCTTCAAGTTCTTTCTGAAGACTGCCAATGTAGGGGCCTGTCTAAGATCTTTGGGAGGGTGTTCCAGAGTCGGGGGCCACCACAGAAAAGGCCCTGTCTGGCGTCCCCACCAAACGCGCCTGCGTTAAGATCATCTGGAGAGGCCCTGCTCTCGGTCCTGCCACCTTCACAGTTGTGTCTGGTGAGGACGAGAGACAGGGCCTTTTCTGTGGTGGCCCCCCGGCTGTGGAATTCCCTCCCGAAGGAAATTAAATCTGCCCCGTCCCTCCTGACCTTTAGGAAGCTAGCAAAAACCTGGCTGTGGAACGAGGCCTTTGCAGAATGATGGGTGAGAGCGATAATCGACCAAAGTATTGACCACAATACATGGACTGAATATACAGACTGAGTTGGACATGTTTTTATCTTGGCGTCCCTCTATGGAGGTAGAGAAGATTGGGATATAAAAGCTATAAATAAATAAATAAATAACCCACCTCCCTGAAGGGACTCGAGGCGACTTACAAAGGGACAAGCCCAAGAAATACAGATTATAACAAGCACAATAAAATAAAATCAACAACAAATATGGGGTAAAAACATCACAAAGCAAACATAAAAACAATTTCATGGCTGAACAATAATAAATACAGAGTTCGGAGGGCTCAGAGTAAGTGCAGTAGTTCCTAAATAGAGCCGAGGGAAGGTGTAAAATTCAATAAGGCCATGCTGGGAGGGTAATGCCTTTAGCCATTAAAGTGTTGGGATTACAGGAAAGAGGGCCAAATTAAAGTGCAGGATTTAAGGTAAGGTTGGAGCAATTCTCTGGTGAACTGCCTAGTCAGGCACTGTTATTTAGCATTGTTACCACTTCATGTACAATACATATTGTGAAGATACCTGACCCACAAGGGCCATATTCAATTTGTTTGCTTAAGCTTTGTGCCACAGTAAACACATTTTGTATAGCATTTATTTATTTATTGCGTCAGAAGCAAATTGAGAATACAGTTGTGTAGAAAAAGCCACAAACAAAGTTTAAAGTTGGCATTATACTAAATTTACTTTGACCAGAAGCTGGCCACTTGAACTGCCTCTGACAACGCAGTAAGTCGGTCCTCCATTGTGCATGTGGCAGGACTCTTGCTCGATATCAAGACCACATTGTAGTAGGTGGTCTGTGATTTGCGCTTCTCCACACTTTGTAGCCCCATTTCTTAAGGTTGGTTCTGCACTTTGTGGTGCCAAAGCGCAGTCTGTTCAGTGCCTTCCAGGTCACCCAGTCTTCTGTGCTAAGGAGGGAGTTTCTCATCCAGTATCAGACACTGATTGAGGTTTCAGGTTTTAACCTGCCACTTTCAGACTCTCGCTTACTGAGGTGTTCCTATGAGTATCTCTGTAGTGTAGATCTTAGGAAGCTATTTCTTGATTTAAGTCGTTGGCATGCTGGCTGATATCCGAACAGAAGATGGGCTGGAGATGTCAATGCCTTGGTCCTTTCATTACTGGCTGTTATGTCAGGTGGTGCAATACCAGCTAAACAATATAATTTCTCCAGCAATGTTGGGCATAGACATCCTGTGATAATGCAACATGTCTCATTCAGAACCACATCCACTGTTTTAACATGGTGAGGTGTATTCCATACTGGGCATGCATAGTCAGTAGCAGAGTAGGAAAGCGCAAGGGCAGATGTCTTCACTGTGTCTGTTTGTGATCCCCAGGTTGTGCCACTCAGCTTTTGTGTGATATTATTTCTAGCACCCACTTTCTGCTTAATATTCAAGAAATGCTTCTTATAAGTCAGAGCACAGTCCAGGGTAACTCCCAGATATTTAGGTGTGCTGCAATGCTCCAGTGGGATTCCTTCTCAGGTAATCCTCAGAGCTCGAGATGCTTGTCTATTCTTAAAATGAAAAGCACATGTCTGTGTTTTAAATGGATTAGGAATCACATGGTTTTCCTTTCAATAGGATTAACTTGTATCTATGAGGTGCTAACAATGTTTCAAGTCCAGTTATGAACAAAACATAGAAAAGTCAAAGGTGGATAAATACTTCTGCAAGTTCCTGTAAGAATATTGCATGCTTCATTTGACCAAATTGTAAATAAGAAATGATGAGGTCTAATCTACGGAATGGCTACCAAAAAAATGGTCTCTGGACATGATAATGAGTCCTAACATGTTCCAATATGTTTTTAGTCAACAGTCATAGATATTATAGTGCATAGAATAATAGCAGATTGATATCAGTGAAGGGGGGTGGTCAGATTAATTTTGTTTAATACTACCTATCAAAAATGGGGAAAACACTGCCTTACAATCACTTGCTAATGCCCTCAGTAATTGTCCTCTGTTCGTGAAACATTTAACAGATCTCAAACACTCAACAACCTTTTGCAATGATATGCTTTGATTATTCTACTAGCTGCCTTGAGATAAATACTTAACAATCATTTCAAATTTTATTTGAAACAACAATTAACATCTTGAAAAACAATAGTATAGGCCAAAGAAATTATATTGAAATGGGTCACAATCTTCAAACCCCTTGATACAGCACGGGCCCCTTAGAATACTGTACTAAGCACCACTGATTTCAAAAGCATTGTGTGATTTTTGGGAGGATGTTAAAACAGAAGAAAGTTGTAAAATGTTCTGCTTTTTCTTGGGTAATTGACCTTACTAATGGAATTTGTTTCTGAAAATTAATATTGTAATCGTTTATATGATATAAGTCTTGGTATAGGATTTCTGTAGAGATTAAGAGTTTGCATGCCTAAATTAAGAGTGTCTCAGTCCAACTCATCTGGTGTCTTCGCCATAAGACTCATCTGTCTGATTGAAACTACCAATATTGGTGATTCCAGAAGTAGAACAGGTAGGTGTTATTGAGATGTGAACTAGACAAAGTTTGTTTCTATGCTGAAGTCTTCATTTTTTAAAGGATTCTTGTGGAGGTTTTCTCACATCTGACATATTCTTTAAAATAGAACTTGGACGTGTCCCACTGTGTTGAGTAAAGCATTTCTTTGTTTAAAAAAAAAAGCTCCTCAAAACTGTGTTTATATTTCAGGTGCATCTGTGCGAGGAGGAAGGTCCTCACAAAATGAAAGACCGCATAGGGAGGTAAAAATGGAAGCTATATGTGAATTTTATAGATGTTTAAACCCGAAAGATAATGTTCTCCTTGAGTGTATGAGCACTGCAAAAACTCTTTTAGTTTAAATCTTCATGGCTATTGACATTCTGGAATGTGTCCAGAGTAGGGTGACCAAAATTATCAAAGATTTGGAAGCTAAGCCCTATGAGGACCGGCTTATTGAGCTTTGTGTGTTTAACTTGGATAAAAGATGGCTGAGAGGGGACATGATAGCCATGTTTAATTGCAGGAAAAGAGATTCCACTTAAACATTATGAAGAACTTGATGACAGTGGAAGCTATTTGACAGTGGAATTTGCTGCCTTGGATTGTGGTGGGAGTCTTTTTCTCTGGTGGTTTTTTCAAGCAGAGGCTAGATGGTCATCTGTTGGGGTTGCTTTGGTTGTATTTTCCTGAATGATATCAGGTTGGACTGGATGGTCCTTGTGGTCTCCTCCAACTCTGTCTCAAAGTCATGAGAAAGTATCTGTAATTAATAAATAAATGTTTATATATAATTTATTTGTGCCTTTTCAAATATTTTCTTCCACATTTGTTTTAGCGTGGAACTCCTAGGACAGAGAAGATGGAGGTTGACCAGGATTGGACAGGCGTGTACCCCGCTGCTGCAGCTTTTAAGCCTTCCTCTGTGCCTCTCCCTATTCGGATGGGCTACCCTGTGAAAAGAGGCGTACCTCCCGAAAAATATGGCAACCTGGAACTTATAAAGGTAATGTTCCATTCTGAAAGCGACTGCAATGTCCTCACATGGATAACCACCAATGAATACCAGGTGCTGTAGGCTACATTTAAGAGGCAAAATTAGCTTTCAGTATTCATTGCCTAAGAAAATGTTATGAAATTCATGAGGTCACCATAAATCAACAGGTGACACGAAGGCACATACACACACACACAACTAGTTCCTTCTGCATAAGCTATGAGGACAACATAATTAGCTCTTAGTGTGCTGGAAAATTTGATTCCAAGAAATGGGCACCTTGAAGAGAAATGTAGAGGGCTGCAAGACCATCGTTCCAAAACAAGCATACACACAAACTAATAATATACAAACATGCATATATAAAATACTATTGATATAAGGATTACCATTGACTTGATTAAGGCAGTACTATTTGATAACTATTTTGCTTCAGTTTTCCTTCCCCAAAAAAAGACTGATTTTTTTAAACATTCTCAGTCAGAGAGATCCTGGGCCTCACTTAACTACAAACTACAAACTTAACTTTTATAGGAGGAAGCCACAGAATTTAAAGTGAGGTGCACGCTGTATGTCTACTCTTTAAAGTGTAATGTGACGAGGTCCTTAGATGACAGAATAGAGAGAACGCTTATCAAGTTTGCAGATGACACAGAACTGAAAGGGTTGGACCAACTCATTGGAAGATAGGAACAAAATTCAAAAGGACCTTGATAAACTAGAAATTTGGGCAGAAATTAATAAATAACGCTCACTGGATATACATGCAAGCATTTCCCTTTAGGCCACATTAACCAAATGCATAGACATAGGATTGAAAATACATGCTCCAGCAATGCTACATGCAAAAAGGAGCTTGGCATTGTTGCTTTTTTATATAATTAAAATAATGCTGAAATGAGCAAATCAGCATAAGAAATCAAGCCAAACTAAGTGCTTTGAGTTGTCTGTATGGGTGACTAATCTCTAGTGCTGATTTATAATTATTGAATGATCCTCTTCCCATCTTTTAGTTGAATTATATATATATTAGCAAGATACATCTCTTTCAGATTCCTAATTTCTTGCATCTGACTCCAGTTGCCATCAGGAAACATTGTGCTGCTCTTAAAGGTGAGCTTCTGGGCATCTTATGGTTTTAATTGAGATTTCGTTATAATCTTCATTGTCCTCAATACCATTTTTGATAAAATGTTGTGAAGTAAAATTAATGAACACTGTAAGAAACCCTGAAAAATGGAGTGAACAGCTTAGATTTAACTATGTTTTGCTCGGATAAAGAGACATCCAAATAATCAGTTGCCAACTAAATTGTGTCTGCAAAGAATATTTGTGAGTTTTCTTTCACATGAAGTTAGAGCAACATCATGGGATCACCATGATAAGGTTCAGTGCAATTGCAGGCTGAATATGAATAATAAAACTTGTAGAGTAGCTGCCCCTCGACTCTGGAACTTCCTGCCAAGGAAGCCAGAATAGCCGCCTCCCTGTTGTCATCCTTCCAGCAGCAGGCTAAAACCGGTAGGCAGGCTTTTAAAGATGAAGGTTTTTAACATCAAGTCAGGAGGTGCTGTGGTTTTTAACTTTGAATTCCCAGTTAAAAACTTTTAATGGTTTTTAACTGGGAATTTTAATACTGTTTATATTTAATCCTATTTCAATGTTTGCATGTTTGTTTATTTTAATTGCATGTTGATGCTTTTTTTTGTTAAGCTGCTTTGAGTCTCCTGTGGAAGAGATAAAGTGGGGTATAAATAAATATAATAATAATGCCTGAAAAATACCAAGGATTATCACCTTCCTAAGTCTATCACCAAGCTGTGGAATCCTGGAATTTTTACTCTTATGAAGTACTTAGACATTTTGGTTAGAGAGCTCTAGTACCTTTATTTTATTTTAACTGTTTTGTATCGATTATTTGTTATTGCCTTTGTTTATTAATGTGTTGTGGGCTTGGCTTCATGTAAGCCGCACTAAGTCCCTTGGGGAGATGGTAGCGGGGTACAAATAAAGTATTATTATTATTATTATTATTATTATTATTATTATTACCACTCGTGAAAGCACAAATATCAGGATTCCATGAGATGCAGCCTTGACAGTTAATGTTGCACCCCACCCAACGTACATTTTTTTTTTTTTTTGCTGTAATCTTACTCCATTGACTCTTCAGACTTCTGCACAGAGTGGCCGCCTGCCCTGGATAATGAAGAGAAATGTTTGCAGCACTTTCCCATTGAAGTGGACACAGTAGATTATGTTTCAGCTGGCCCGTCTGTTCGTAATCCTAAAGCAAGAGTGGTGACCCTGAGAGTAAGTAACTGGAGAAAACATTTCATTTTTAATACTGTGCTTTTAACATGAATTCATGGCCGGGGGGGGGGGGTGTTTTTGTTGTGTTTTCACCAACACAGGCAGTATTTTCATTGACAACCAATCAACTTCAAAAGATAATACATACCCTTTGCAATTTAAATAATTTATTGCAGAAAATTAAGTCTAATTAAAGTCAATTGGTTAAATATTATAAGGCACAAATAAGTTAATAGCTGAATGGCTTCAATATTTTATCCATACTTGATTGTCTGTATGTATGCTTATACAGATTATTGCTGTAGCAATCTTAATGCTGATATTTTGTTCTGTGTTTCTTGCTGCAGTAGATCTTGAAGTAATAATTTGGTCAGACTAATATTTTCTGAGATCTTTATTTTGTTACAGTACCATGGATGTCCATGATACTTTTCAGTGTAGGGAAAGGGAGAGAGCCTATCCAAAGAACGTAGCATTTTTAGAATAGACTAAAGGTGGTGCAGGATGCAAAAGGTTAATGATGCTAGGGTTAAACTTGGAGCCTTTGTAAAGAAAAATAAACAAGCTTGGCATATATACATGATGGTAGTTTGAGGAGCCAACACATTTTACTTGCATTCTTAGTAATCTTTAAAATTACCCTGTAACATAAGTTGCTTGTTGTCTATGCCTGTGATAGCATCATGTTACATAGTCCAGGCAACCAATCTTGCTGATGTCTTATTTTGTGTAGATGTCTTCCTGAACAAGACTGGATCTTCTCCACCCAGGTCTTTTGAAATAGGTTGCATGGAAGATGGCCTGGGTGTTGATTACACTGTAACAAGATTTGAAAAAAAATTGTTCCTGGTTTGAAAGTGTTGTTTCCTGTTTAATTGTGCTGTACTTACTTGGAAAGTAGATGTTACACTCCAGAAACTTTGTTTTTGTGGCTGCTACAAACTATGTTGAATTGGTTGAGACTCTTGAGATATTAATTGAAAACTATAGCAAAATGTGCTGCAGGATGTCCCGTAAAAACAATGTTTTTGCAGTTGAATAAACTTTTTCATGTTTTTATGATAGAACCAGTTAGGAAATAATGTTTATAACCCAGGAACAAAAATTGAGTTACATAGTGTTATTAAACATACAACACCCAGCCATATGGCATTTGGTAACACTAATGATCGGATCAGACATGATTGATAATCCTGCTTTGTGGTGTTTTATTAATCCTCTGTCAACATAATCTGCTGGGAGAAGTGGCCAGGAAGAGATCTGAAGGTAAAAAGCAGATGGTAGTGAGAATACTCTGAATGTGGAGTTCAGTCCAGTTCTCAGTGAATTAATAAAAGCTGTGTATATGAGACAATATGTGAGGATCTGTTACACTTCCATGCACAAAACCCAGTTCACACAGACAAGAAGAAGATTCCATTGAAGAGGTCTAGTTCATCTCCCACAACCCTCCCCCCCCCCCCCGCATGCTTGTCTTTTATGTGTAGGTAATATTTTTCAAAGAAGAAGCATGTACTTGAGCAGCAGGTTTTAGTAACTAAAAGGAATCTGTGTGCATCTAGTAGTACGTTAAATGTCTCCAAAATACTTTTCCCACAAAGATTCTTTACTGACTTACTTCCTGTAAAGATTGTCTAGATCCAAAATTTCCAGCAATTAATAGCTTGACTGTTGGGTAGTCTATAGTGCTGTGTTGTATTAAGTGACTTAATCTCAGATTTTATCTTTAAAGCAAATTTTCTTGCTTTGAGAAGGGTGAAAATATGGTTTCCAAAAATGTGGGAATTTCCCCAAGCTGATCTGTTATTGACCCATCCCACCTGACCATTTTCTTCCATGAAATACATGATCAGTTCTACGTCTCCCAGTCTCCTTGAATGCTAATGCCTTAATGGTGACTCTTGTTCTTTGGGCGTCATTTGATATGATTTCATGAACGAATAAATCCTTCATTTGTGTTCATGCATGATGTCTTTGCCTTCTTTGAAGGTAACAACTTGACTTGTACTCTTAAATAGCATTTAATGTGATATGAAACCTGCTAAGAGACTGATTTCTCCCCAGATTAAGCTTTCAAGTCTCAACTTGGATGACCACGCAAAGAATAAGCTCATTAAACTTGCAGGAGAGAGGTACAGCAAGGGTACAGATACCCTTATCATTACAACAGACAGGTATTGTAACATGAGAAAATTATCTAATGTGGATAGTCAAGATCTTTCTAGCTAATATCCATCTATCTTAACTCTCTACAACATCTCAAACATAAAAACAATTTGTCCTAATATGAAGGTGCTTAGTAACAATGATGTTTGGATTCTGATACGACCAGAACAATGTATGTTTTAATTCATCCTTATTTGTCCAGGTACAAAATACATGCCTTAGTTGTGTTCTGTTTGGATTACTGTAACACAGTGGTGCATGTGTTTTGGATTTAAGCTCCCAGAATTCCTGATTGTTGGACAAGCTGACTAAATGTTCTGGAAGTTGGAAGTCCCCAAAACCTAGAGAGAGCTGTAGGTTGTGCACCACTGGCTGCAACACATTCTGTGGGTCTGTCTTTGGGAAGTGTTCAGACTTCACCTGTTCCAAAATGCTTCCAGATTATAAACTGAAGCTGGCTATAGGGAGCACACAAATATCTTGTTGAAAGAGATGTACTGGCTGCTGGTCTTATTCTTAGTCTAAAATCAAAATGCTGGTTATGACGTACAAAGCCCTATATGCCTCAGATTCAGGTCTTCGGAAGAAATATATCTCCCTATATGAGTTTGCTTGTGTCTTTAATTCTTCTGCGGAGGCCATCTCTGTTTCACTATCTTCACAGCCACATCTGGTAGGAACATAAAAAGGTAGACGACTCCCAGTCTCTAGACTCCTTTCTTTTAGTATACTGGTGCTATTCTTTTACAGGTAGATGATAATAATAATAATAATAATAATAATAATAATAATAATAATAATAAACCTTTATTTATACCCCACTACCATCTCCCGAAGGACGCGGTGCGGCTTACAAGGGGCCAAGCCCAAATACATCAGAAAAAAGCAACAACAACAACAATACAGACAATAAATAAACTCGTAAACAAAGCAATAAACAGTAACAATAACACCACGACTCATTAAAAACCTATGGCATGACAAGGTGACATATAACTAGGATAGGTATTTGGAGAGAGATGGAGCAAGCAGACAATCCTAGATCATTAGTAAAGTGCGATTAGGGACATGTTGCTTAGGGTTTCCTTATTCTGGGAAGGCACACTGGAACAACCACGATGAATGCCTTTTTTTTTGGCAGACATTTGGGGTGTCACAGCTCACAGCCATTTTACACTTGTGGTTTATATTCATTCATCTTTTAAAGGGTTGTACTACTTCCAATCTTATTGATAGTTATTACTATTTTGAACGTTTGTATGATGTTTCTGTTAAACTTATTTTAGGTACCTTGACTCTTGGGAAAGGGTAGACTATAAATAGAAGAATAATTGAAAATGATTCAGATTATGGTTATCACGGAACAGCTTTGTTTCTGTTTACTTTATTACTTGCAAAATGTTCTTTACCCCCAAATGTAAGACATTTTGACAAGCAGTGTTTGCTGTGAAGAACTTGATGCACAGATCTAAAATGCTGAGAAGTCCTGTTTGTACAGCAAACCAAAACTCTATGGTTGTTCAGGGTGCTAATTATGAATTTTCAATTCCACTGTTTTAAACTACTAAATATACTGCAAGTTATACATTAGTTTTTTTCCTTTTTTTTCAGGTGTCTTTTAAGGAGGCAAAATTATGACTATGCAGTGTATCTACTGACAGTTTTATTTCATGAATCATGGGTACGTTTATGTGTTACAGATTCAGTATAATGATGAACTGTAAAAACACACAGCATAACTTACCTAAGTTGTGTAACATTTGTTTGCTGAAATGTTATTCATAAATTATATGGCTTATTTAACTTGAAAGAGGGATTGTAGAACTCCAATACTGATAGACTTAGCTGTAGGTTGTGCTGGTCTTCTTTCACAGGTGGAGCAGAAAGCTTCTAATGATATGGATACTTGATGAAAAGCCTTTCATCTTTTCAAAGCACTGACCAAAATGCATGGATGCCTTTTTATTTTCATTTTTAATAGGCAGTACAGATACATGGTGCTGACTATTTAGAAAGCAGAAAGCTGACTTTTCAAAATGCTGAATGGATATATCTAATGTATATGAATATACACTATTCTCGTATATATTATATAACACACACCTACATTAATGTATATGAATATATATCTAGTGTCTAGATCAAAGGAAGTATTGGTGCCCCTCTGTTCTGCTTTGATCAGACCTCACCTGGAATATTTTGTCCAATTCTGGACACTACAATTCAAAAGGGATATTGGGAAACTGGACCATGTCCAGAGGAGGGCGACTGAAATAATCAAAGGTCCTCAGAATCCTTCTGAGGAGCGTCTTAAAGAGCTGGGTATGTTTAGCCTGCAGAAGAGGTTGAGAGGAGGCATGATAGCCATTAGGCATGGGCAATCCATGGTACTAAATGGTTCTAAAGTACTTACAAAACTAAAGTTCTGGTGGTGAAGTTCTAGTGCTTTGCTTCTACAGTGTTGCTAAAGTTCTGGAAAATTTCAGAACTCTACAAAATTTTCAAAAATTTGTTATAAATGGCAGTTCCTAATTAGTTCTGTCATAAAAATTGCCAATAATGAAATTTTGAAAGTTTTGTTAGTGTTCTGAAACTTTCACCACCAGAACTTTAGCAACACTGTAGAAACAAAGCACCAGCGTCCCCTAGTTTTCACCACCAGAACTGTAGTTTTGTAAGTACTTTAGAACCATGGATTGCCCATTCCTAATAGCCATGTATAAATATGAGAAAATATGTCATAAGGAGGAGAGAAGAGGCTTGTTTTCTGTGGCCCTGGAAACTAGGACTCAGAGAAATGGGTTCAAAAGATAGGAAAGGAGATTTCACCTGAACATTAGGAAGAACTTCCTGACCATATGAGCTG